AACAAAGTATATATTCGTCAAACACAGGGTAAATCATTCTATCATTTCGAGTTTCAAGATGACGTGTATACTCGTGAGACACAGATAACCGATTGAATGAACGACAGGAAATGCAAAATTTTAAATCATATTTTGAAACCGGTCATTTGACCGGTCACGGTGCGTTCAGTGTTCAACAGCCAATAACTCGATACTCGTTCACCTCTTCGCTTGAAACACGGCTGTGACACACCCGATTCAACTCCATAATTCCACAATCACTTCCGGATTCCCCGATTATCATCTTCAATATCTCCAATGATCGAGCGGCTAGGGAGGAGATAATCGGGATCCGCGAACGGCCTGCGGATACCGCGGAATCGTATCGGTCGTTAAGAACGGCCTCTGTCCCGGTCTAATTAAGACGGCGGGTAGATCGTTAATAATCCTCGCGATAGGAGGAAGATCCTCGTCGAAGATCCGTGGACGTCGTAACTCTTCCGTGGGTCGGGGCCCAACGGCCCCGCGAATTACAAGGCCCGCAGGCTCGCGACCGGCAGGCCTTGCTTTCATTCTAATTTCCGGATGATACGTCGTTTAAGGTCGTAGATAGCTGCCGCTCCGGGGCTCTCCGTGACTACCGCGCCATTCATCATCGGCGGCTCCAATTAAACTGCCTCTAGCTCGCGGTCGTTCACTCGTTAAGGCAGCTTTAAGAGGATTTTCGAGCGGAGGGGGTCTAGGTATCATTACTTTCTGCTACGTTCCGCATTACGCCGATTGTCCATTCCGGGATTACGTCCTCGAGGACGGCGTAGGCTCGGACCCGGGATCCTCCTTGCCATTGTGTTTGCGCTGGTTCTGTGGGAAACTTCTCTCTGCCGTCTTTTAACGTCCATCTTATATTTGCACGATGGAGGGACTCGCGAAATACGCGGTGACCAAGTTTCAAGAGAATGGATCGTAGTTTGGGCACCGGTGTTTTTAAATTGAAGTCCTTTCAAATCAGATGACTCGACGAGTGGTTGAAAAATATTGTCATGCCATTGTATTATTGTTAATAATGTTATTCAGTCTGACATGACGTTGTAGGTCAAGGGGTTGATGTGAAATGTATAGTGACGAAGTTTAAGAAGAATGGATTATAGTTTGAATAGTACGTCGAAAATTTAAGTTGTTTGAAATCAGTTAACTCGATAAATAGTCAAGCAATATTATCGTATTATTATATTATTATTATTATTATTATTATTGTTTACTATACCATTGTGATTGTATATTAGGATCTATATACATACTTACCCGTGCACTACAAACAAAAAGAGAGATATATTTGAAAATGACGGAATATTTCTCGTCTTGACGTCTGCCGCAAATAGGCTAATTTGTTGAGACAAATATACGTTATCGCTGGCATGGAACGCTAATAAAATTAGATGCGCCGAGCCTTTGATTGCAGAAGATTGTTGTTGCCGCTGTTACGATCGATGTAATGAGATTAAATTTCATTGGAGGGGGTACTTACACCTATCCTTTATGCAAGAGGTATGGGAAAGCGATTATATCATTAACGACAATTTTTACGATACAAATGGGAACTCGTAACGCATGCTCCAGTTGTCCCGGTGTAGCAAGAAAATAAATCAATTCCATTAAAGTAATCATTATCCTTACGACGCGGATTATTTATAATTCCGCTAATTGAAAAGAACGTAATATATTATCTACTATTCCCGGCATTTAAGTCTTCATTACGGCGCGCCGTTCGCGATCGAATATATAATCAGCATCCAAGAGAAAATTCCTGTTCACCGGGCAGCATAAGTGTAATTACTATAATAAAACGGCAAAAGGATTTTCAGGTGTTCATTAATTTTAAGATGTCAACCGGCGGTATTTAAAAATGAATTGGAAATCCACTATGTCTATGTAGGTATAGATCGATAATAATATCAAGAAACATCCGCGGGCTAATAATAGTCACCGAATTCGCAAAAACTGACTGGTGGCCCGAAGAATTCGCTACGAAAGGACGGCGAAGGGTTCGAATCGTAGATATACTCCATTATAAAACTGTCGTGCAGCCGTCAAGGGCGTCCGACGCGACGGTTCGCTTTTAAATTCACAACGACGCTAAACGTGGTCGGCCTCCGATAATAGCTGGAACTTCTCTGTCGCGTGAGTGGCGAAGACCGTTTTATTTGACGTGCTTTCTGCGGCTTGATCACCGGCAGATTAGAGCGACCGGATCGAAAAAGTTGTAAATACGGACAGGGGTAGAAAGGAAAAAGAGAAAAATATTTCGGAATTGCATGTGAAAAATCAAACTCCTACGACTAAATGAATAAAATAGCTTACGATAACTATTTTCCTTTGACGCGTTAAAAGCTGATTCATTTCAAACTATTACGTATTATCAATTATTAAAGTATCATTATACTATCAAATTATTTAATTGAGTTAGTTCTTGGTTAGGTTGTTATTCCTCACACGTTCGTCTCACTGAACACCACCGCTTTATACCACCTTATTTATAACACGGAAAATTGTCCGATTCATTGTTTAGTCGAACAAAATACAATTCATTTGTCAAGGACCATCAGTAACTTCTATAGTATTCAAATCATTAAACGCTTACTAAGTGCTACACACGTCCATATTAGCATTCAGCGTATCATAATAGTTCTCAAAGCGCTATCTGAGGCGTAACATCTAGCACAAGTCGAAAAATGAGGTCAAACCCCAAAAAATCGGGACGTCTCGCCCTACACTAGAAATCCCCACGAATGGGCGGAATAATATCTGCAGGCGTAATGTCGTCGCAAGAACGAGTCTTTCAAGACGAACCATTGGCAACGACACCGGAGGGGCTTCCTCCTAGTCCTGGGCTCTTCTCAGCGCAGGACAAGTCAATAACTATCGAGCGATAAACCGGTGCCTTCTAATCAACGTCTGGCCGACCATTCGTTAGCGAAACTACACGATAAAATCGATAGACCTGCATCCCGACAAGAGCACGGCAAAAGAAAGAGAAAACCGGAGAGGGAGAAGGAGAGAAGGAGAGAGATAGAGCGAGAGAGCGCCATGTGGGCTATCGGGCACAGCTGTCAGCTCCCTGCGCGAGTGTATCGCGCGTCCTTAAGCCTCGTTCACAACGGCCGGCCCTCCCGCCCCTGTACATTACCCCATTATCGCGGCGAACCTCGCAGCACAGTGTGAAATTCTATCCTTATTGATGAATATTCAACGAATGCGATACCGTCATGTCACACCGGGTGTCTCGCAAAATACGATCCGCCGGCTAGCACAAAATGGAACTGATCTTGGTCGAGAGATTGCCGCAGCTGTTTCGGCCGCACGCTTTCATCTGTTACGCTGAGAATTAGCGGCGCCGTGAACGTTGAATAATTTGCGGTATTCAACGTTGATGGTGGAAGTGATTTAATGCTTTGCGTCCCGTTCTGCTTTGTTTTGGAAGAAATTGCAGCGCTCGTTACTTTTGTTACTTTGTAGATGGACACTTTTATTCGCAAAAGGGGAAAAGGAAGAGTGTTAGGGGATAACGGAGTTTTATGTGCCGCGGCAAGGAGAGATCATCATTAATCGCTTTCCGAGTCATAGAAATGACTGTTGACGAGCGGAATTAGGTTTTATTTTTAGCGCGGAAGTGGACGTTCGATTTAGAAACCGAAGGATGAGATCGTTAGGGGATATTGGTGCTTTTAATGAATTTTTTATAGTTTTAATGATAGATCAGTTTGATTGTACAGACGGAGATACTGTAATTATATTTGTACTATATTTTCACTATATTGTAACTACATTTCGACTATATTTTCACTATATTGTAACTACATTTCGACAATATTTCTACTATATTGTCACTGCAATGTTAGAACGTAATATTAAAAAGTGAACCAAAACAGAATAAAACAATTCAAGCTGAAAATTTGAAACATTTCTTTACGCAAATTCTTCTAGCATATTAACCAGCCATCATTTACGTAATTTCCATCCACATCAGCTCAAGCATTCCGCAATACCTTCCCCAATGATCAGAATTTCCGCGTAATTCGATCGGAACCGCGCATGGCATCCTACGCGCGATAATCTCGTGATTCATTCAGATCGGGTATCGATCAGACTCGTGTGCCGCCGTATCGCCCGGTCGCACATGATTCTCGCGTTCCCGTGTGCACGGGGCATTAGGATGGACCGGTGCACAATGGTCCGTGTGTTCTCTTTTCGAGTGAGTCAGAGGGCCCCGGACGACGTCTGCCAAAATATTGTACGCGCGCCTCGAGGCCCGCAGCCTTCAAGGAGGCGAGACAATGACGTCATTCAGTGAAAAGGGACGATAAGGAGACCGGTGGCAGCGCGGAGGTGGGACATTAAAGCCCCGATCCGTGGCAGCGCGACTAAAAAGACGAAAACGTCGCCCAGCTGCTCCGAAATAAACAAGAATTCCCTCTCCGGTGGAAACAGAACATTCTACGAAACGAAGGAACCTTCTGCAGTGAGCGAATAGTATGAGAAAGTTTGTAAGTATTTTGATTACTATGCTGGCTTTCGTTGGCAATTGCCACCAAATTGTTGATAAATGATTACAATCAGATGAATTACGATCGAATCGTCGAAGAATTTACAGTGAAGTGATTTAAGTAGATAGTGGCTTACAGTGAAGTCTGTGCTATTCAGCAACTAATCATTAATTAGACTTAACTTTTTATTGGTAATATTTATCTACGCTTTGAATGAAAATATTTGCACATGTGAAACGTGATAAATTCGTGGTAGTCAATGAATTAATCCATTGACTTAGGATTTACTTCGCAATTCCAGTTATTAGAATTGTATTGTTGTTCATAATTGACTAGGAAAAGGAAGAATTCCATTGTGGTAGACACTATATCTACAACTGCTCTAAAAATTATCAGTTGATAACAGAGGATCAATATTTAGCTTGACCGCAAAGAAACTGGATAACACTTGTACTTTTCAAATTGTGTTTCAAACCATCTCGTCATCGGTGTGGCAAGATATTATGAGGCAGGAGGTTAATCACAGAAGTCCCTACATTTTTTGGATCGTTTGACGAAATTCTTATGTCGCCACTGATTGCTGCAGCAGCTAATGGAACCATACGTTAATCTCCTGTGCACTTCACATTTCCGAAGGTTGTTCAACCTTCTGTCAGCGGTGAGTCACCAAAGTGCTCGACTGATAACTTTCCTCCGATATTTTCCAAAAGTATTACTCACGCCCGGTGTCGTTAACCCCGCATCATTGGGGCCGAAGGTCGTCCACGCCCTACGGTTTAGGTTACAATTAGTCCGCGTCACGGATTCGGAGACTAAACACGTCGAGCCAGCCAAAAACTGACGCTTCAACATCTTCGAAATTAAACCGAACCTTGGAGAATAATTTGTCGGACAGATGTCGCTGGATCCCGTCTGTTCGTCCTTTTGAACAAACTCAAGGTTATCTGCGGACGCAAAAAAGATTCATGTCATGTGATGTATCTCAGCCCTTATGTAGCCGCGATAATTGGGTTGTTCATTTTTTGGTTAGGTCAGTCATCATTCGAGAGAAAATGATGTTGTGAATGATGAGACGTCTGCCGGTGACATTTCATTTATCAATATTATCTTATAAATTAACGCTAAAAAAAATTCTATACTTGATTAGTAAAAGCATTCCGAGTAAAAAATTCGATATTCTAAATATGATTAATATCAGAACTATTTTATATTGTAACAATTCTGAATGTAACTAATATTCTAATTATTTTATATAGCAACAAATGTAAATGTTATTCATATTGCAATTAAATTGTCTAACAATAAATGCTCACCTTCCTCGTATAGGTATGTATAATAAGAGGATACAAAATGAACTTCATGTAAATACAGCACTCTGAAAGTAAAGGGTTAATAATTCAACAAGAACAACGTTATAATTTTCACAAACAGCTCAGTCTAAGTAACAGCCGCGTTTTAAAGAGACTCATTGTGCGTCCCACCTCCGTTTCTTCTTTCCCGAGCCAGACACGGAAAATACACCCAGCCTCGGCTAATCTTTTCAACAAACATGCCCGGGTGCGAAAAGACCGTATGCAGACCCCTTGAGACGAAACAATGACTCGCGCGAACGCGAAATCAATAACAAAGCGCTTGACATCTCGAGTCCCACTCGCGGACCGTGTCACATAACAACGCCGACCCCGCGGATTTGTTTCTGCCGTTTTCACCTTCGTTCCGCGATGACTTTCCGAGTCGAATGGAAATCATTGACACAGCTTTCATTAACAACTATTCGACGACAACTCTGTTAACTGGAAACAATATTAATCAACAGTGATTTTAGCTGATAGCAATTTTGGCCATTAAAAATTTTAATCAACATCTTAATCGACGACAATAACAACCAAGATATATATTTTTTACTTTGGCAATAATTCTCATGGTAGATAAACCTTTAAACCGAACGTTTTTTGTAGTATGTATTACATATCAATTAAAATTTTCGACAATTAAAACTGCTGTTGGCGAAAACTACTGTGGACAATGCCCGGGATTGGTGAATTGTTTGCGAAAACTTTGCCGATGAAACTTGTATTGGTAATTTTAATCAGACCCGTCTTTCCCACCGGAAAAATGAAAACCGAGATGGAGTGTCCCCCGTTTTCTATTCTCTGTTCCCTGAAAATCGTCTTTCCTTTGTTTCGTCGGGTGCAAACCCGCTTCCCCGTGGACTTCTTCCTCCCCAGGAATCTCGACCGAACTTTCTCGGAAAGGTTGAACGCGTCCCTTTTATGGGATGTTCATTTGGTCGCGCCGTCACTTCAGCGGACCAACCGGCAACCCTTGTTAGGAGAGACCGGCATCAAGGACACCGTTGATCTCGCCTCTTACTTCGCTTCAGCTTCGCGCGATGGCTACTTTACCTTCGAATGAAGACGTCTTACCTTCTACTGTCTTCGTGAAAATCATTCTTCAGTCGTGGAAACGATTGTAAGATTAGCCTCATGAAATTTTAGTTCGAGAAATTTTTGAGTTCTGTATTACTGTTAAAATCAATGTTGAAAATCAGACGTCCAAGGGAATTGACTTTTAGTATATTGTCTAGACTGTGCGCTGGGCTATCGGTGTTAACTATTGGTAGGCGGTTTCGAGTCGAGGAATGGTAATCAAGAGTTTAATGTTCAGTTTTTATAATAAACTACAATCGCGGAATATCCAGTACACAAATTTCTCAATTCTTTCAGCTTTTTCAAATATATTTTAAATATTGACATTTAACTACTGATCAGTACAATTATTCAGTGTTAAAGATTCATTTATGAAATTTGTTTAATGGAGCAAGTTTTGTTGGTATTTAATATTTCGTGGGTACCAATGCAATCAATAATCTACAGATTCTATTCACTTCTAATATAGCATTCTGTAACTTGCTCGGTACATGCAGAGACACGTCATCGATTTCTTCAAAACCATTAATGGCAGTCACAGGGTAGTTCCTTAATAGGCCACCAAAGACTGACAGAAGAAGTGGCTTCACAGAGGACGTTACTTTTTCTAGGAAAACGAAAGGTTCATCGACCCTCATTACTTTCTACTCTTCGCCAATTATCTCGTTGAACTTCTTCCCTCGGAATATTGTAATTGTTATTAACAACGTTTCATTTTCATGCTCATTTCTCTGTTGCGATTAGCATCGCGTAGCGCAGGTGTAATTAGTTGCAACGCTTATCCAACAAAGCGTTTCCACGGTAGTTCGCAATCGAACCGAGTGAAACTCTGATTTGAATTCAGTTACGCCTTTCATTAGACCTGCGGGGCGAAAGTGTCGGAAGCTTTGAGATCGTACTCTTTTTTTCCATGAAACGTCGATGCGTGGCTAATATTTATAGGCTCGAACAAAAACTCGAACAAAGTAACAGAGGAAAAAATATTTTATTCACGTATCCATGTAACGATCAAGCAAAGCACGCGGAATATAAAAATTCATTGCATAAACACTTCAAAAGTTGTCCAGGAAAGGGTGGTCAAATTCGAAACAAACAAAACTCTATCCATTAAATTTGATGTATCAAGTCCTATAATTTACCACATTTTAGATTCAAACGAATATCAATAAAAATGGATTTAACGCGGAGGAAGGTTAAAATATACATAAATAAAAGTGTAACATTCGATTAGATTTATAAACGTAAGCATATTTAAATGTCAAAATCGCCAAATCAACTATCATCATTTCCAATCAACAAATTTACTAATACAAAGAGAAAGGAAATAAAACAAGCACGTTCAAGACAATGGCAAGTCTATAATTTAAAAAGAAAAATGAGAAACAGAGGACCGTCACGATCACAATATTACGATAGTTAGACGTATACAGTTGCGAAAGATTCGACGTGAAAAGGAGAAAAGGGATCCATTTTTTACTTTTTAAATTGGACCATCCCCCTAGAACGAAAGGCGTATGTTTGCACGGAGTCGCTGTCCCGTTCGTTGACGAAATCACGACCGTCACGGCTCCTGGCTCTAATTGCCGTCAATTGCTGGCAATTGTCGGGCTGACCCTCCTATGACCGACTGCAATTTGCAGCTAGGTCGCGCGTCATCGCCGCTCGTCGCGCAAAATAGTTGTGCACGCGCTCCGTTCTCTCTCCTTCTCGCACGTTCTCTCTGTCCCGTTTCGTCCCGGTCCCAGCGCACGCATATAATTACCGTCGCGGTCGTTCGCGTGCAAGTGCATGCTTTGTAATAGGCTTCGGCGGTTTCCTTTCGCCGCGACGCGGGCCGGGATGCCTGCTTCGGTTTGTATCGCTTGGGAAACGTAATTTTTCTGCTCCTTTTGTGGAAATTGTCGATCGACCGGATTCTGAATATCCGACTGCAATTCTGCGAGGAAGAAAATAAATTCTATGACAGTTGACAGTTTTGATAAATTGATAAGGGGTAGGGGTTGTAAGTGATTTATTATTAGGAAAATTGTATTAATGATCATGACTGCATCGATGTTAATGGATCGGCTTGTGAACGTAATTGTTGGGTTCTCTTTGTAGAAATTGTCGATCGACTGGGTTTTGAAAGTCAGATTGCATATTTATGGGGAAGGAAATTGACTTTACTCTAGATCACTAATCTTTCGCCGAAGTAAAAATCATATGTTACTGATGTTGTTTAATTTACTGTTTTGTTGTACAGTTTAATTTATTTATGATTTTTTGTATCATTTAATTTTTTGTATCGTAAATGATTTATTATTAGGAAAATTATACTAAAAATAATGATTGTATCGATGTAAACGTGAGAGAAAATGAATTGTTTTCAATTGTTAAGGTTTATTTATTTTGTTGGATTATTTTGCATTACTTTATAGTAGAATATTATGAAAATTGTAGTGTATACAAGTATGAGGATGGTCTGCTGGTTAAATGGTCTTGCTTGGCAAGCCTAAAAACGAGTCTGGCAACCCAGTCTTAATAAACCGTGAAACAATCCTAATTACTCCGTTTCCAAGGGGCAGGAACAGCGCTGGCTCATGGGGTGTGGTGACGCATTAAATTAGCATTGCATTTCCGGTGGAGCACTGGTGTCTGGAACAACACTGACCGCACGTTTTTGAATACTTCCTTTCCCCCCAGTTTACAGTGGTCTTTTATGACTCCTATCTATTCTGAAAGTTGAAACTTTTGTACAATATTGTATACATTACTATGTATGATCATATTTCAAGTCTTCAACAAAGTTTCATAATATTTTCACTGTTATTTGAATTCGCGTAAAGGTTCATAGTCTACTTACAGTTAGCTAAATAATCATAGCAAAACAAGTTCCAATTAAACCGCGGATTTTCATGCAAATTCGCATTCTCACGAATTAAATTCATAGAGCTACAAGATAGATTTAAATTCCTACAATAACAAATGAAACTGCACCACAATCTCCCTTTTATCGCTTTCATAACCTCCATACTCGCGAATTGCACAAATGCACTTCCATAGACACCAAGATTAACGAGAATTTATTAACTAGACTCGAGAATCGTTGAAATCGTTTCAATCAACAATTCCTCCAAGATAATTATCCAGCTAAATTCTCGTCATTCTAATACTTCGTCAGGGTAATAGCAGCCAATGCAAATGCTTCGAATAACGAACAAATAATCGGAATAATTTCCTTCATTAACCAACCGTTGACTCATTAACGCGGTGTCCAATTACGTTTCATGAAAATTTTACTTGCCGCCCCTATCCTACATCGAGAAATGGAGTTCCAAAAAAGAAGGCAGCACGCGATGAATTAATTCCCCTCAGCCCGATCGATTATTATTCCATCCCACGTATCGTCCACTGTGTCGCAACACCTCGCCGCGCCACGCGATCCCTCCCGGTCTCAAAACAATGCCACGAAATCGATCCCGAAGACCATGCATCAACGCCTATGCATTATGCATCTCCCGGAACCGCCCTAATCGCTCCGACATCGCTTCGCCCTCGGCGTTCCTTTCCCGGTCGCGTAACCGTGCACCGGCGCGCACGCATCCGCCACGAATCCGTGGCCTCTCGCCACGCTCCGTTTACCATTTTCGAGCGAACCTGTACCCACTCCGAACCAACAGAGAAGCGTGGGCCAGGGCGTCGAGAAATTCAGCTGAAGGAAAAAGCGTAAAAGGGAGGAGAAGAAAAAACATCGAGATATATGCACATACGTGCACAGATAAACGCGTGCATATTTATATACAGGGTGATCTCCTTGTTAAAGGTACTAAAAATTAATGACTCTGTTAATTGAGATGGTATCGTGATTCTAAGATTGATAGACTTAATACTTTCTTGGTTTGAAAAGGTTCTCTCTATTATTTAAGTTGTGAGAATGTTTATAAAGGAAAACATTCGGTGTTTTGGGTTGATAGAACGTCTGCGAAAGGGAATGTTTCTGAAGTGTCTAAATCACAACAATGTTTATGAAAAGGAGAACTTTGATTTTCAAGATCATGGTACTAAAAGTGATACTATTTTATTTATTCGAGTCACTTGAAAGTAACCTGTGTTCGACAGAAAAAATTTACCAATGTCGTGTCATCGTTGTGTTGCAGCCAACCTGATGAACAGTCAATAAC